CAAGCGGATATATGTCCACTAGATTCCTCTCTTTCTTGCGGTTTCTCTTAAATTTTAGAGTTTCGCTTTGCCTTATTCCTTCTCCACTCATAGAGATTAATGCACATTTACTTCTTTTTTTTTTATACAGAACGATGAATTGTTTCTTCGAAATGGTATTTGATGTTAAGTATGTATTATTTTCTTTGTTCAAATCCACAAGGTGCAAGTAAATAGCTTTTTTAAATTGACATCACTATTTAAATACGCTAGTGTGAAAGAAGGCTCAGATGAGGTTTTGAAATTTGGCGTCGAGGCACCCAACTAAAACGTAATGTGGCAAATACTTAGGAAAGTAGCTGTCGAGAAAGTAGCAATCAAAGTGCGTTTAGGTGCAAAGTCCGCTTATACATGTTTTGCGCAACTTGCAACCTAACTTGTAAGAGTTAATTTTGAGGCGACTCTCTGTGTTCCCAATATATTTGGATTGATCTCGCTTAGCAGAATAATAGCTTCGATTTCGACAATTTCTTGCACCTGAAAGGTTATGAACAGCCATGCCGGAATAGAATTCAAAGATTTGCTTTTCCTAAGGAATAGAAAAACGAGCTATCTGCACGTGCAGAGTGCTAAACCAATGTTACTAAGTAAGAATTTATTACGCTTCACGACTTTAGTACCAAAGGTTCATATTTATGTGTCACCGTTAAGTTGTACCTTTAGTTTTTGTTTTAACTATGCTCTAGAGTTGTCTGCTTTTTTAGAAAAATTCAAGTCTTTTCACAGCTTCAGATATACTAATATCTATGGGATTTCTACTGTGCAATGGTCAATTATCGGTTAACATCAGAAACTGACCAACGATAAAATGTGGATATTCGGAAACAGTACAGTGAATGTTGAAGAGTACATGGTATGAATGAGCATTTAAGGTCTTTGAAGAATATAAAGAATTAGTAACAAAGTTGGAATTGTGAGTCTCGCAGATCTCGCACAAATCAACTTGGATTTAGCATAAGACCAGCTTCCCTACAATATTCCGACATAATCGTTTCCCAAATTTACGCTGTCGTCAATAATGCCAATTTATTTCACCAAACTATGTGCCGCACTCAATGATTTATCTGAAGCGATCGAATTTTGATTTTGGAGCTCAAGCGACTTTTTCCAGCATCTCCCACAATCCTTCTTCACTTCTTTCCCCTTCCCTCTCCTCCTCCCTAGCCCTTGTATAACCCTATGACCTTCGAAATACAGATACTTATTGACTTCCACGAGTTTATAGCTTTTTTATAGATATTGTCTTTATGTAATTCAAACACTCATGCAGCATAAAAGAACGTTTTCTTTATTCAATATATTTTGAAGTTGGGCGCATGCAAACTACATCAATATTAGATTCATACTTTTTTTGCTACCTTTATATCTGTATTATCGCATGATTCCACACAAACTAATAAATTCTACCGCGTCAGCAAGTTTGTAACGATGCAAAAGAATATCATAGTTCCATTTCTTATTATATACACTTAAGTGGTCGTTCTTTGCTCAAGTCTGACAACATTTCTCTATGAGAATTTATAGTTTTCAAGAACTAACCGGTATAAACTGTTCTAGCAATTGAAAAGTCCGTCAACTTTAGTTCAAAGGCTTTTGTTACACTCTTTTGTTTAGCATTTAGGGTACTTACATGGGTAGTGAAGTTCGATTATTGATCTCTTCATTTATTTTCTTGGGGTGGTTGTAATTTGACAATGAAACTACGAGTTAACTCGCAGTTAACATTAGAAAATGCAAAATCCAAGAAGTGCCAGTACGAGAGGATGACCGATAATCGTCAATATTAAAGAGTAGTTCCGGAAATTTTGCCAGAAATAATTGATCTAACTCTAAGTTAACTTACAGTCAATCTCCAACTTAGCGCGTAGATAAAAAGCGAGTTTCAATGATAAGGCGAGGTAGATAAGAGACTATAAGAGATAGAGACACTAGTATAACAGTGTTCATATTATGGAAAGGTCCTTTGGAGTACTTCTCATGAAGTGAGCACAGCTATATTTGTGTCTTTATATCTAACGACACTATCTCACCCTATTATTGTAACCTGGATTTGACCCACAGCTTCATTTCATATCTTAAAATTCATCTAACTTGGAGGTTAACTGCGAGTTAGCTCCGAGATTCGACAGTTATGGGGACATTGACGCAAATATCACCCGTTTTAAGCATAACACTTTAGATCAAGTTATCACACAACGCAGTAAATCAAAATATTACCTACAGAGTCTCTCTTAATAAGCCTTAGAAGATGTAGTAATTGTGCTGTGCAGTCTAGTGGTATAGGCAATAGCATAGGAGATGGATCATCTCGGGTTCAATCTTGCTGGAAACAGATGGATTGCAATCAACATTTCTTACTATAACTGACAGTTAACTCGCAGTTGGGTCCTCATTCAAACGAACCTAAGAGTTAACTGCGAGTCAATGACAATCCTTAACTCTAAGTTTTGGATAGATTACTACCACCCCTGTTTTTCTATTAGGTCAAACTTATTTCGTTTACTAAACACAAATTTCCTGTTTTACATCTTAATCCTCTTTTTTTGCTTAAGAGCTTCTGTGATCCTTTCACCATCTGATGCATTTAGTCTATTCGTTCGATTTTTGAGACAAATGTAAACGCGCTACCCGCATATGTATCGCAGCACGTGCGTAATTCGTTGGGGTCATGCGGATTCGTAACATTTTCTGAATATTTTC